AGCACAGAGGTTTTAGTTGTGGTATTCAGTTTTAATGAAACTGTTAGTATGTGGCACTTAGAGTTGGCAATAGACTTGGCCAGTGAAAGAATGAAGTATCAACCCTAAAATATTTATCCAAATCTAATGCTAAGGTTTTCCTCCTGTTTTAATCTCTGAGAAATCAGAATTTTTTCCCCTCCCTCCCTTCCTCCTCCTCCTCTCAGGCATTAGGCCTTATAGGCTGCTAACAGTCTTGAGTTTCCTTTCTTGGAATGGCCTGTTTATCTTCTCCTTTTGAGTCAATATCTGAAAATTGCTTTGAACAATCTGCTGGCATTCATTTTCTTCACATGTCTTCTCCTGTGTTCTTGGTAATGTTTAACAATTTTGCTGCCAACCTGTCTGTAGGCATTTGAAATGCCTAGCCCAGGGTTTTAAATGTCAGGGTACTTTTAATGCATTCATTGATCTGCAAAATCCGGAAACACTCTGCTCATAAATTATGACAGACAGGAGTTTGTTTGCACAGTTGCTGTTCAACCTAAGTCAGATATGGTAATCTACATGTGGGAACACTTGTCTGTCTGCCAGGCAGATGGTGGAGCGAATGTATTAGTATAGTCTGTCACTGATTCAATTATGAGTTCCATCAAATATTATCATTTCTTTTATGATCCAATTTCATATAGCCAGCCATTCTTCTCTGAAACTTACGAGGGCAATTCAGAAAGAAACCTGTGGTGAGCTATTAACAAAACAAGCAATTAGATAAAAGAATTATTATATATAACAAATATGTACATACTTAAGCTACTTCCCAACGTCACCTCTGGAATTGAGGCACTTGTCATATCAAGGAATAAGTTTTTCTATGCCAGTGTCATTGAAGTCTGCCTCCTGTGAGCTCAGCCATGTTTTGACATCTTCCATCAGCTCCTCATTACTGTTGAAGTGCTGTGATCCCAACTAGTTCTTCAGGTAGGTAAACAGGTGGTAGTCACTTGGAGCACAGTCAGGGCTGTAGGTGTGGTCAGACAACTCCAAATTGAAATGCTCTAACATAGTTCAAGCTCTGTGGGGATGCACATCATCATGGAGGAATACCACACCAAATGTCAGTATTCCACGCTTTTTCTTCCAAATGGCCCGACATAGTTTTTTTAGTGTTTTGCACTACGCTTCTGACGTTATTGTGGTTCCTTGTTGCAAGAATTCGACCAGCAGCATTCCTTTCCTGTGCCAGAAAACAATTGTCATTGGCTTTCTGGCAGACAGTGTTTGTTCAAGCTTTTTCAGCTTGTTTGGTGAATGTGTGTGCAGCCACTGCTTTGGATGCTCCTTGGTGTCCACATTCACAAATGAAACCCTGGTTATATCACCTGTTACTCATATGATGGGACTGGGAAATTCAACACCATCTTTGTGCTGTTGCTCTAAAAACCCCAAAGCCATTCTCTGTGTTTTGTGCGCACCCTTCAGCATTTTTGGAACCTATCTTGCACAAAACTTGTGATAGCCTAGCCTAAGTGTGATAATCCCCTAGAGGACAGTGTATGAAATTTTTGAAATTGTGAAGTGCCATCTTCCACAAATTTTATGGTCAGCACCTTAACAAGATCATCTCTAAGTACAGAAGGTTGACCACTTCACTCATTATGAACATTTGTT